GTAATCTTTTGTTTCCGTTGTTCTGTGCCCACTTGTATTTTTTAGCTGATCATATGAAGCCATGTAATAAATGGTGTTGGTTGCCAGAGGACGAGATACCCTTAGGTATACTCTTATGATATCATTGAAGACAGCAACCTGCTATATTACTTAATACAAAAATATGTAAACAGACTAATCTTGTAAATACCATTGTGGTCGCCAATGGCAATTGATATGCAAATTAAGTTTGTCTGACGCATTACAAAATAAAGTAGAGACTGTCGTGGAACAATACACAACTCACAGACAGACAGTGTGCTGAAACCCCTCTTTTATAAAAAGGAAAAATGGCCGATACAATATATTGATCTTGTGGTCTGACAATCAGCATCAAAAGCGGTATGGCGATAGTGGTTCGCGTTTGAAAAGTAGGGTGATTTAACATGGAATAACGGACATAAAATAAATCTTGATTCAGGTTACTTTATGTTGTTAATTGGATTAAAACAGTTATATTTGCTAACAACTGGATCGTACATATGTGTAAAAAAATGCATGAATTTCAACTCTAATTTGGGCAGCAAATACTGCGTCTACAACTGCGTCAGCTGCGTCGCCATGTTCATTGAACCAGAGAGTATCCAGAACGAAGCAAACAAACTTGAACAGTCACCTGCGTTACTGCATTTTCTTATTTGTAAAAACAGAGTCTGGCACACAAATACACATCGTCCATTGGTAATACACTGGGCCAGTGTAGAATTTGTCATCATGTTTTACGGCAAGTTGGGCATTTAATGGTGGAGTTTTAATGGAAACATATATAGCATACCGAGAGCTTGGAACGTCACCTGTCTAATACAAAGCACACAAAAGTGAAAAAAAATGAAAAATATAAACTCAAAATTAAATTTGATTTTAATATATGTTTATGCAATGCATTCTCTCTGGCACATTCTGTGATGTTTATTTGATTGGGGAACACTGGCCAGGGCGGATGTCAGCCATCTTGTTCACTCATTTCTGGTGATGAAACCTAGTTAGTCATTGATTGATTGTTCAATGGGATAAAAAAATGACCAGCTCACACTAATGTTTCTGAATCTGTGTATTAAGTTCAAAATAAAATATTATCGAGGTCTTTTCTTTTAACTTGATTCCCCATCAAGCCATAATTGTGACGCTCAAATCAAGATCTAACTGAACTAACAGTTAACATTGGTATAGCTAAGTAAGTTACATTAAGTCATCTAATAAAATGTAGATCAGTTCATTGTATTTCAATAAGTGTGATCGACACAAAAAAAGAAAACAACAGTAACAAACGCAATAAACCACAAATGTCACTATTATATGCCGTGTTTTTTTTTTGTTTTTTTTTGTGTTTTGTTTTTTATAATTAACCTGTTTTTTTTTTCATTACAAAATTCATATACAACTCCCAAAAAATAAATAAAAATAAAATAAAAGTAAATGAGTACCAAGGATGTTAATACAATAATGTAATCTTATTAAACAAACTCTGACTGTTTTTAGAATTATTATATTTACAAAATACAAAATAAATGGCTTAGAACGATTTACAACCAAACTTGGGGAACTAAAACTTGCAATATTATACAGTTCAGATATGCTACTAGAGTTACTCTACATTTTCATGTATTACCCCATAATCTCTGCCAATTTAACCCATTTTTAATTAAAAATTACATTACTATTCCTGACAAAATATTATTCTAATTCCAATCAAAATTTAAGATACCCACAAAAACCAGGGAAAAGAGGCAATTCATTTTTTTGCTTATATTGGTATATATAGTAGTGTGTACATGGTAAATCTGATCGATACATATGGCACTTGCATTGTTTTCCAAAATTCCCAATATTGCCAATTTTATAGATAAATCAGGATTGGGGATATTTCATAGTCTAAATCTATAGCAAATATGTCTCTGT